GGCCACCCCACCCCCTCGAAGAAGAAGAGACGGAGTACAACCACCCCAGGCTAAGGAATTGAAAGTCGGGGATTGGGCCCGTTTCCCGCGTTTCCCCCGGAAAGGAGGCCGCCGGGGGCGACCCGTGAGGGGCCGGACGGTCAAGACCGACATACTGGAGCAGGATGACCTTTGGCTAGGGGTTGCGGTGGGTGATGCCCTGCGCGTGGCAGTGCGCGAGCGCCTGCAGCACCTGCCGCAGCACGCAGCGCGCGTCCTCCATCGCCACCCGCCCCGCCTTGAGCAGCACCTCGAGCGGCGTGCCCACATCGCCGTAAAAAAGCTGCAGCTGGTTGCGGGGCACGTCGACGTTGACGAGGAGCAGCGGCACCACGGTCGGGTGGTGCAGCTGCTGCAGGCAGCTGATGGAGCGCAGCAGCCGGTACGAGACGCCCTCGCCCGCCTCGACGTAGTCGAGGTCGACGGAGCGGCAGAGGAGCCGGACGCGGCCGAGCTTGCGCTCGCACTTTGCCCACGAGCCGGTGTGGTCGACGCGCGGCTGGCTGAGCAGCCGGAAGTGGCCCTCGTGGCCCTCGTGGCTCAGCAGCCGGTCCGTGTCGATCGAGGAGAAGCGCGTGCGCTGCCAGAGCGCCGGGTCCTGCGCGACGCGCCGCCACCGGCTGCTCACCCCCGCGTTGCTGAGCGTGTCCTCGACGTCGAGCGAGCGGAAGACCTCGACGAGGCACTCGTCGGGGAGCGACCCGATGCCCGCCGGCTCGGCCGGACCGGGCCGCCGCGAGGAGCGCCGAGTCTTCATGCGCCGACCGCCGTGAGCTCAAGCGACAGGTTGATTTTTTTTTCGGGCGAATTCTTCTGCAAACCCGCCAGAAAAACGGTAGTGAAGACTGCCAGCGGGAAGCTGGAGGCAGGTCACTAGACTGAGATGAGACCGCCAGTGGAGTTGGGAGCCCACCGTGCACCGCGCTGCGAGCCTGTCGTGTCCCTTGTCAGGAGCAGGAGAGCCCCACCTGTCCCCCTGATCGTCCTTCCAAAATCCTGCTCGTGCAGGTGGGGACCCTGTCCTCCTCCCCCATCCCTCGTCTGGCTTTGTCTGTTTTCTTTCTTTCTTTTAGAAAAACGGTATGGCGGGTGGAGTGCTCTCTACTGCCGCGGCGTCCCTGTCGGTTCGGAGGCGCCCCCCCTTGGTGCCGACGTCGACCGGCTGCTCTCGCGGCGCCGAGGCGTGCGTGCCGCTTCGGTCACGTCACGCGCGCTGCGAGGTGTCTTTTGGCATGTGAGCGCTTGGCATAGACGCCAGGAAGCTCGCCTTCCTTGCCTGCGGCCGCGGGCGTGCGGGCGGGCACGCCAGGCTCGGCGACGCTCCGCGCGGGTCTTCGAGCTCGCGGCGGGCGACGAGCGAGCATGGCTCGTCGCTCGACGGGAGCCTGCCCAGCATGCTCTCGGCACTCTGTACAGCCTCGACAAGGTGTCTGGGAAGGCCGACAGGGCCAGGGCGGGCCGTCTCGGGTGCGATGGCGCGCTGAATACTACCATGACTACGAGCTCTCGATCGGGTCGCCGGCAGCGGGCTTGCGCGGCGCGCTGCTCGACGGCAGGCTGCTCTCCAACCTTTCAACAGTGTCTTTTGACTCGCTCCTCTCGCTGCAACCGCCTGCGGGGGCCGGCGCCGGCCGCCTCGCTTCGCCAGCGCTGCCTACGCCTACGACACGCGCATCGGCTCGCCGCCCGCGTCGCCTGCGGCGGGCCCGCGGGGCGCGACGCTCGTCGGGAGCGTGCTCAGCAGGCTGTGCAGCGCAGCCTGACTCACTCAGGTCGCCGCTGATGCGGCGTGGGGCCGCCGGCGTCGCTGCTGCCGCGCACGCTGCGCTGTGGGCGTCACCATCGTGTCCTCGCCGCGTTGCCGACGCCACTTGCCGCTCGCGGCTGCCCTGCCCTTCCCTGCCATCGCGCAAACACACACACACACACACACACACACACACACACACACACACACACACACACACACACACACACACACACACACACACACACACACACACACACACACACACACATTATTAATCATCGGGCGGCGGCGCGGCGCGGCGGCGGGCGACGCAGGGCGGGGCGGCGCGGCGGCGGGTGGTATAATTACTTATTAATTGATTAATAATGAATTAATAATCATTGGGCGGCGGCGCGGCGCGGCGGCGGGCGGCGCGGAGCGGGGCGGCGCGACCATCTGTACTGACGGGGCCTCTGGTCTTTGATGCGGCGCAATGGTCGCGCTGCCCTCGACTCAAGGGGCTGCCGTCCACCCGTCGCTGCTCAGGCCGGGGGAGGGGGGGAGACCTCCTGTTCCCCGCGGAACACGAGAAGGCCCCTCCTTGCCCGGTCTGTGGTGCAGGGCGGTGGTCGTGCCATCGTCGCTTCGTACGCGCAACCACCCCGCCGCAATGGTCGCCGGCGCGCGACACGTTCCCGTAGGCCGGACTGTCCTCGTCGAGAGTGTGTGCCGCCATGGCGGGACACACTCAGGGACGGTGCCGACGGGACGCGGCTCGAAGGGTGTGGCTCCGCAGCGCGGCTGGCACTCGTCGCAGAGGCCTCACCTTCGAAAAGTCGGGCATGGCTCCACCCGCAACTTTCTCGCTAACAGCGCGCACCGCCGAGCCTGCGGCGGGCGCGCTGCGGCCGCACGTCTAACTTTGTCATAGTGCCACGACGTGCGGCCTAGATTTAGCCCACGCGCCTCAGCTCGCAAACACTCACCCATTGAATTGTCACTGCCCGTGAGTGCGAGATAGGGCTAGGCGGCTAGCAGTAGGCAGCTAGCCTGTGAGGAGGGCGTCCATAGACACCTCACTAGACCCCACACACGGTCTCGTCCGTGCCTTGCCGGCCGGCGAGATTGCTAGAGGCGGAGCGGTGTGCTCTAGCCTTGCATGTCACTTCCTGTCGTCTGTTGTTTGTTGTGCCCTTGTTTGTTCTCTTGGCACCTTGGAGTGCTGGGGGGGGCGACAGGGAGGATGTGGCCTTGAGTTATGTGTACGCCAACTCAGGGTGTGTGGCAGCCAGCTGGCTGTGTGTCTTGTGAGCCTGTTTGTGTCTGTGTGTCGCTCGTGCGTGTCGTCATCATCTGTCTAGCGTCCACCCATACCGCGCTGGTGTCCAGCCTGAGCCTGGCTGTTCTTCACCTTTCTACCTACCTACCTTGGTTCTGCTGTTTTAGGTATGTTGCTGTGCTGTTGTTTGTGGCACCTTGGCACCTTGGCAACTTGGGTGCGGGGGGGGGGCGGGGGGGGGGGGGGGGGGAAACTGGCACCCAAAGAACTAATGCCCTAACCTCCCTCCGGATGTGTGGGGGAACTGGGACCCTGGGAGCCCAACTGGGGGAAGGTTTTTGAATTTTTTTGTTTGTGAAACGCTCGAGGGGGCCGTCATCTCCTGGTTGCGAATTTGAACGCCCCTCGGGTTTTTTGGGGGGCGCGCGAACGGCCGGGGGGACTGCCATATCCCGGGACGAAGATTAACCTCCTCGCCAACCCCGGGTTCCAAGAACGCGTCCGCGGCGGCTGGGCGGCTGGCTGCGCGGCGGCCGGCTGCATCCGGCCGGCGCCGAGCACCGTGGCGCGCAGCGGCGGGGCGTCGGCGCTGCTGCGTGCATCGCCCAACCGCTGGGAGCTGTCCTGGCTCCGGCAGCGCGTGCCGCTCGCCCAGCCGTGCAGGCTTCGCTTCAGCGCCTTCGTGCGCGCCGCCGACGGCACCGACACCCTCCCGGCGGCCGAGCTGCAGCTCGCCGTACGCTCCGCCGCCGCCGACGCGCCGTCGTGCCGCCTCGAGCGGCGGTGGCCCGCACGCGCGTGGGAGCAGCTCGTTCTCGACTGCCCGCTGCCGAGCGCCGCCACCGATGCGGAGGCGTCGATCGAGCTGGTCTCGGTGCGGTCCGACGCGGCGGCGCTCGTGGACGAGGCGCGGCTGTGGTGCGCTGGCGAGGGCGAGGAGGAGGCGGGCGGGAAAGACGGTGGCGCGGGCGGCGCGGCCTCGTCCGCAGCGGCCGTGCCGAGGCTGCTGCACTTCATCTTTGGCCTCTCCGCCGACTTTGGCGGCAAGCCCTTTGGGCTCGTCCACCACCTCGTCATCGCCGCCGCGCAGCACGCCGCGGCGCCCGTCGCAACCTACTTTTACTACGCGCATGAGCCGAGCGGGGAGTGGTGGGAGGCGGCCAAGCCCTCCCTCGCGCTGCGCAAGGTCGTGGCGCCGACGAGCGTCTTTGGGCGCCCCGTCCGCAAGTTTGCGCACCAGGCCGACGTCCTCCGCCTCGAGGCGTCCTCTCGCCGCCCCGCCTCGCCGCCCCGCGCGTCCTCCCTCCGCCGGCCCTCTCCCTCCGCCGGCCCTCTCCCTGCCCCGAGCCGTCTCTCCGAGGCGTGCGCCAGGTGCTTCTCTCCTTCGGCGGCATCTACCTCGACCTCGACGTCCTCCTCCTGCGGCCGCTCGCGCCGCTCCTCTCTGCGGCGGCGCCGGGCCAGGCCACCACACCCACCCGTCCACCACCACCGTCCACCACCCGTCCACCACCACCGTCCACCACCCGTCCACCACCCGTCCACCACCCGTCCACCACCCGTCCACCACCACCGTCCACCACCCGTCCACCACCCGTCCACCACCCGTCCACCACCCGTCTACCACCCGTCCCACCACCGTCCACCACCCGTCCACCACCCGTCCATCCCGCGACCCGCCCCGCAGGCCACGCTCGCGCACGAGGGGGTCGGCGGCTCCATCGGCGTCGGCAACGCCCTCATGCTCACGCCGCGCAACCACTCCTTCTTCCGCGAGTGGTACGAGGCGTACCGCGCCTTTTCGGACGCGGTCTGGAACGGCTTCTCCGTCCGGCTGCCGTCGCGGCTCGCGGCGGCGGCGCCCTCCTCGGTGCGGCTGCTACATCCCTGCAGGAGCCTTCCACGAGCCTTCTCGGAACCTTCCTATAGGCGCCCTCCTCGGTGCGGGTGCTCGCGTACGGCGCCTTTTACTGGCCGCCGTGGAACCCGTGGGGGGTGGCCCAGCTCTACCGGAGCGAGCGGTGCTTGCTGCGCGGAGGGTGCGCCGAGGGAGGAGCAGCCCCGCACCCTGACGCCTCACCCTGCCCCCTCACCCTGCCCCCTCACCAACCATGACCAGAACCACGCTCCCTACCTCCTGACCCTCCCCCCCTGGCGCCAGGTACGCCGTCCATTTGTGGGAGACCAAGGTGTGGCGCTCGCTCCTCTCCTCGCTCTCGCCCGCCAAGCTCGAGGCGCACGGCTCGTGCTTCGCAAAGGCGGCGCTCGCCGAACCCGAACCCAACCCTGACCCAGACCCAGTCCCTTACCCGAGGCGCTCGCCGCGCTCCGCTCCCCCAGACAGGTACAGGTACAGGCATCAGGTCCAGGTCAGGTCCCTGACCCGACCCTGGCCCGTCCCACAGGCGGCGCTCGCCGTGCTGCGCGGGACCTTCAACTTCACTCCGGCGACGCTCCGCCCCGGCGAGCGAGCAGAGGAGTCGCTCACGGCGCGCGCCCCGCCCCCCTCCGGCCCTGCCCCACCCGGCCTTTGCCCAATCAGCTCTCTCGCCCACCCACCCCCCCTCTCCCCCGCCTTCTCGACGCCCGCACTCCCCCCTCCCGCCCCGCGCAGGTGTCGCTGTCCCGACCGCTCGCCGAGCTGCTGCTCACTCCGGCCGACGGCGCCGTGGCGTCGGCCGCGGGCGGCGGGCAGCCTTGCGGCGACGACGCGGGCGAGGCGTGCGCGGGGTGGGCAGGCGCTGGCGAATGCAGCCGCAACCCGGGCTTCATGGAGCGCTCTTGCCGCCGCTCGTGCGGTCTGTGCGGTGGCGGGTCCGCCGCCGGCGGAATACAACGGTGAACTCATGGTGAAACTCAAGAGTGTGCTCAGCGAGGTGGCCGCGAGCCGTGGAGCAACCCTAATTATGTTGCCTAAACGGAAATCTCCCGTTGAATCTCCCCGCCGGATGGCTCGCGGCGGAGAAATCGGTTCCACAGCGAGTTCGAGCGGTTCACGGCGCGAGGCTTTCTCTCGACCATCCCGCTCATGCGTCATGGACTTGGACATGCAGCACCGAGAAAGGAGCGCGTGAAGAGGGCGGTCTCCGTGAGTCTCCTGCGCGCTGCGGGAAACTAGTCGCCTTTGACGAGTTAGGGCCCCCTCCCCAATCGTTATCGGCGGACTAGTTTTTCACTCGGATTCCACTCCCATAGATTGCACCTTCGGTGACGGTGCATTGGCGTGTCTCTCTATAACGGAGAGACGAGAGTCACGGATCGCCGCGCCTCCACTATATATAGGAAGGGTTTTTCACAGTATCCCTGACATCCCAACGCGCAGTGGAGGAGAAGCGAGGGCAGGTGGCCCGGAGAGCCTGAAATTCAATTGCGTGATTCTTTCCCAGAAAGAAAGAAAGAAAACAGACAACCCAAGGGAGGGATGGGAGGACGGCACGCCGCCACCACACAGGGATTTTAAGGAGAGAGGAGTGTGGTGCTAGCCGTCGCCCACCCTAACCCTTGGTCGTCTGCCTCTTTCTATCTCCCTTCGCAGCCCCTCGCCGATTCTCGCTGCAACCCTCATGCCACCTCGCGGTCGTCCCACTCTCGTCGTTCTCCCTCCTGTCGTTTCCTCCTCTGTCGCGTCGCTCTCGTCTGCCTCGTCGCTGCGACGCCGCCGCCGCCTGCCGATCCCTTGCTCTCGCGGCTTCTCCCGCCTCTCGGCGCAACTCTGCCCTCCTCTCGTGGCATATTTTGGCCCCTCGAGTTTATCGAGCTCTCCTCGCGCAAGGACGACTCTTCTGACGCCCACTGCGATCATTTGCCGCCAAGTCATATCGTTGCTCAGGTCCACTCTCTCTTCGAACACTTGTACATCCACCGATGATGTTGGCGCTGGGGTCCCCTTCGGGTGCATCGTTACAGCTGACGAGACGGGATTACCACTGGTGTGTCGACGCCTCCTCGGAGTCTTCTTCCCCAGCTTCCCCCCGTTCGGCTCTACGTTCATTACGTTCATCGTGGCTCACCCTCCATGCCGTGAACACAGGCGCCCTATCCATCCTATGTTCTTCTCTCGCTCCTCTGCCCTGGCCTTGGTCTTGTCTTTGTTTCGCACCCATGTCTGTATGGCGATCGAGGCTGATGCCTTCCCCACTACCTGTAGTTCACTCGTCACTTGGATGGAGCACTTGGAGTGCAGTCATTAACCTCACATCCAGGGCCGGGGAGCTAAGAAGCGCACCCAGCGAGCCGGATGATCGGCATCGGGCTACGGGCTAGAGAGCCCTGACCCCTAGCTAGGTAGGGGGGGTGCGCATTCGCAGGCATGGAAAGGGAAGAAGAGGGTTCTGCAACCAACACGAGGTCAACGGAGAGCAGCTGAGCCTGCCTCCGCCCTCGTCCCCCTTCACCTCCGGTGAGTCGCCCTGCCCCAGTCGTCCAGAGCACGACCTCTGGCGAGTCAGCCGGTCACTTGATGACGACCTGAAGAGCAAGAAGAAGACAAGGCAAAACGACAAGAAGCGCGCCAAGGCCAAAGCAGCGGCTATCGCCGCTGCAGCGGCCGAGGAGGCTGCTGCAAAGGCGGCTGCTCAGGCGGCCGCTCAGGCCGCTCAGGCGGCCGCTCTCGGACGGTACAGGTTGGTCAACGCTTGGTTCTATCCACGCGGCGACTGGTACACCTTCTACTGGGATGGCAGCTCGGCCGACAAGGTCGCAAGGCGCGCTACCTACCCGACGCTCGAGCACGACGACCACGACCCCGGCCCCCTCGCAGAGCGCATCAGGCGCGACAAGCGCGAGGCGTCCCACCGCTCCTCCGACGACTCCTCCTCCGACCGCGACTCGTGCGGCACCGGCTCCACTAGCGAGGCGAATGACATATTCGACACCCTCGAAGACCATCTCGGCTACGGTTCCGACTCCGGCTCCGGCTGGTAGTCGACAAGCTGCCGAGCGCAAATCACTCTGTCTGACACATTTCTTGTTGGCTTCTAAAAATCTCTCTCTGGAAAGGGCCGTAAAGTAAACACGGGTAACCTCTCCTGCGAGCTCCCCTCTCTTTCTTTCGGGTATGGAGTCCGTGATTCTTTCCGAAAGAAAGAAAACAGACAACGCAAGGGCGGGAGGGGATTCTTTCCCGTTGTGGTCGCCAGAAAAGGGCGGAATTCTTTTCTTCGCTGCTGCAGCGTGCTGTCGTCTCAGACGCCGCCCTTTTCCATAGTTACCCCTACCTACAGAGAAATCCCCAGCAGCTTCAGCAGAGCAGCATGGGCGGCCTCCTCTCGAGTCTCCCGCCTCTCGAGGCATCGATGACTTCTCCCTTCTCGGTCCTCGTGTGCACGCTGTGCTGGGAGCTGCTCTACCAGACGCTCGGCCTCTTCTTCCAGCTCGCGGCGCCTAGGCTCGTGCTGCGCTCGCACTCAAAGGGCTACAGCAGCATGGCCAACCACGGGCACTCGTACGCCTGCGCCCTCATCCACGCGGTGGTCGTGACCGCGCGGGGGCTTCAGCACCTCGCCGGCCTCGTGGGCGCGCCGGCGGAGGTGCAGATGATGTCGCCGATGGGGCCGGGCGAGCCGGGGTACGAGCTGGCGCACCCGACGCAGCTGACCAACCTGCTCTTCTTCTCGTGGCTCTGCTACGACATCTGCCACATCATCAGCTGGTACCCGCAGCTCGGCGGCGCAGACACAGTCGCGCACCACGTCGGGTTCGCGATCGTCTCCGCCATCCACGGCCTGACGGGCTGCCTGCCGCTGCCCTTCGCCTGGCTCATCACGACCGAGCTTTCCTCGCCCTTCCTCAACATCCGCTGGTTCCTCATCAACAGCGGCCGCGGCGACACGGGCATGATGCACGCCACCAACGTCGCCTTTGCCCTCTCCTTCTTCCTCTCGCGCGTGCTGCTCTACGGCGTCGGCGTCGTGCACCTCGCGCTGCACACGCCCCACCTCTTCTCCGCCGCGTTGCGGCCGCGGCTGTCGCCCTACCTCGCCGCGATCGTCTGCGCGCAGATCCTCTTTGGCTACGGCCTCAACCTCACTTGGGCGAGCAAGATTTACAAAATGGCGACGGCGACGAGGCAGGGCGGCGCCGGTGACGCGCGCCCCGCCCCGCCGCGGCCCCGCCCCCGCCGCGGCCCCGCCTGCCCTCGTGAGGAGCGGCGCCCCTCCCCTCAGGCCGGCCCGACGAGCGGGAGCCGCTCAACGCGGCCGACGGGGCGCCTGTCAAGACGCCGATCAAGGCCAACCTCTCCCCGAACCAGCCCGCGATGCGGATGGCGGCGTCCGTGCGAGGATAGTCAGTTCTGCGGCGATGAAACCAGTCGACGCGACGGGGGTCGCCGCCGCAGCAGCGCGGCGGGCGGCGTGCACACTAAACTAAGCTCTTCCGTCTTCGCCATGCGGCCAAGCGTGTCGCGGCCCCGTGCGCGTGGCGTGAGCGAGGCGGCAAGGGCGGAGACAAGCGGGCACTGACACTTGTGTGGGCGTGGGCGTTGGGGGTTTGACACTTATATACTAGACTAGAGAAGAGGAAAAAACGAGAACCTGCAACGCACAGGCCGACGGACCAGGGTTGGTGGACTAACATTAGCACACCTCCAGGGGCAGCACTGACTACAGATCGTGCCAACACTTGGCGCAAAGGTCGGTGTTAGCACAGTCGAACGGCAGTCCCAAAACAAGCGTTAGCACAGCCGTTAGCACGGTGTTGGCACACCCTCCGGGTAAAACCCGGGTATACCTGCAAAAAACCAGGTATACCCGAGAAATACCTGGGTCCGCGTCAATGCCGCGCGCGCCCACTCCCAGGGCCCGTGCGCCAACTGCGGCTCGCACCGCCTGCTCAAGTACGCGCACCGCACCATGTGCGCTCGCTACAAGTGCTAAAGGCAGCATCGGCGCTGCGCCAGGCGCGGCTGGCAGGTGGCGGTGCGGACGATGCGGTCGTGCCGACATTCTGCTTCAAGATTGAGGCAGTGCTCGGCATGCGCTTCTGCGAGCCCGAGCAGCTCATCGCAAAGAAGCGGCGCAACAGGCTGGCTGCTGCCGACAAGGCCGTGTGCTACCTCACGCGAGGCACCTTCAAAGAGGACAGCAATGACGCTGGATTCACCGACACGCGCTGGGTGGAGCTCGAGGAGCTGTACGAGAACTGTGGCAAGACGCCACTGAAGAATGCGCTCAAGAAGTACCGAAAGGCGGAAGAGGAGGATGTGGATGCGGCGATTGCCGACTTTGAGGAGGGCGTCGAGCACGAGGGATAATCATAAATAGGCGCATTTGGGATGCGGATGGCTGGGGACGCCCATGGGACATGTTCGCAATCGCAGCTGCGGGTGTGAAGTGAATATGACCAGATGCGCGTTCTTTACATACTAAAACCAAGGGCAGCAACAGCCCCTCCCCTCCCCAGACAGACGGGTCCAAGGTAGATGACTCACGCACACAACGAGACGAGCGCGCCGTACACCAACCCCGACACACGCACCTCTCTAGAGGCAGTCCTCCGCCTTGTGCTCATACTTGATGGGTGCGGCGGCCGGGTGGGCCTGGCGACCGCGCTTGCTGCCCTTGACGAGCTGCCGCCCTCGCCGCCGCCCTCGCCGCCGCCGCCCTCGCCGCCGCCGCCCTCGCCGCCACTCTCGCCGCCGCCCTTGCCACCGCCCTCCTCGCCGCCAGCCTCCTTGCCGCCGCCACCCTGGCCCGGGGGCTCCTCAGGCGAGTCGACCCGCTGGCGGAGCGGCAGGGCGCCCTCGCTGCGCACGCCGCTGGCGTTGTACGCCTCGAGGCAGGGCTTGCCGCAGAAGTACTCGCCTTCTTGAGGCATCCACACCATATCGCACGCCACCCACGAGTGCACCGGCAGTTTGCATTGCTTGCAGCTGTGTGCCGCTGCATTCTGGTGCTCGAAGACCAGCTTGCATGCAGCACAAGCACGCGGCTCGTCGTTGCCGTTCATCGCGCTGCGGCCAGTCTCAGCACCGCCCAGCGAGCGCGTGGGCGTGTGGTCGCGTGACAACTCTGGACTCTGGTAGCGCTCCTTCAAAGAATTCGCGCCTAGCCTCCCCACCCCTCTAACGGAGCGTGCCAACACCTCCCGAGTGGCAGTGTTAGCACCTTCTAACACGTTCTAACATTAGTCCACCAACCCTGCGACGGACTCACCGGTCCTCTACGGCTTTACACATACGCGGTGAGCCATACGGACCCATTGCAGTAAACCTTTTCCTTCTAAGCAGGACTACACAATGACCCTATAGTGTGGGGTGTTCCTGGCGAGTTGTGATGAGTAGGATTAGATTAGCCAATGAGGAAGGCTGATGCGGGGCCACCATTTAGTCTCCCATGCACGCGCACCTCTGTCCAGTTGCCATTTGTCATATGCACGATCTGCGAGAGTCCGTCGCTTGCCAACAGCTCTTGGTGTAGTCGCTCGATCTCAGCCCTGGCTGCTTCCGGCGTGCTCGGGAGGATGCCTGCCATGTCCAATGTCCTTGAGATCGCTTAGCATTTCTAAGTCTTAAGCGCCAGTCTGACGAGCTGGGCTTGTGGTGCTCAGCTAGGTCATGCACACACCCTCTGGGTGCTGAGCTGAGTGGAGCGAGTGGAGGCGAGAGTGTAGCGGAGGAGCCGAGCGGAGCCGAGCGGAGCCGAGCGGAGCCGAGCGGAGCCGAGCGGAGCCGAGCGGAGCCGAGCGGAGCCGAGCGGAGCCGAGCGGAGCCGAGCGGAGCCGAGCGGAGCCGAGCGGAGCCGAGCGGAGCCGAGCGGAGCCGAGCGGAGCCGAGCGGAGCCGAGCGGAGCCGAGCGGAGCCGAGCGGAGCCGAGCGGAGCCGAGCGGAGCCGAGCGGAGCCGAGCGGAGCCGAGCGGAGCCGAGCGGAGCCGAGCGGAGCCGAGCGGAGCCGAGCGGAGCCGAGCGGAGCCGAGCGGAGCCGAGCGGAGCCGAGCGGAGCCGAGCGGAGCCGAGCGGAGCCGAGGCAGCGGAGCCGAGCGGAGCCGAGCGGAGCCGAGCGGAGCCGATGGCGTGCCGATAGGTATCACCAGCCAACACAAAACAGGGGGACTGGCCTTGATTTTCTAGCATTAGATGCAAATAAAATCTGAGATTTATTCGAGGGTGTATCGTCGATGTCCCAAAAGTCAGCGTTGCCAGCTGCGAGAAGCGATGGGCGCCCCTCAAAACGCCCATAGAGCCACCGCCTCGCTCGCCCGAGCCGCTCCGACTGGAGGGCGCTGCGCTCGCCCGGCATCGAGCCGGTGCACCACCCGCCCCCAAACGCGGGTCCGGACCCCCCTCGTCGCCAGCGGCAGCCGCTGGCTCGACGAGCAGCACCCGCTCGGCCGCCTCCTTGGCCCGGCCGCCGCTGTCGCGGCTGTCGGGCTCCGCGACAGCCGTCAAGCACCGGAGAAGCAACCACCGGCCGCTATGGATGCGGGAAGTGCAAAAAGGGTCTCGCGCTTTTGCGACCCCGCAGCATGGTTTGATAAAAGGCACCGTTCTCGAGTCGGCGAACTCACCATTTTATTTTCGAGTTTAGGTCTCGTGACGGCTATCTCGACCCGGCGCGCGAAATCTGTAGCTACGAGGCCTGGGTCGGGGCTATGAGTGGGCTACATGCCGCTTGCCGCGGCTCCTAGGTCGACGAAACGCTCGCGCTTCACCCTCCCCCCCTCTGACGAAAGGTGTCTGCGTCGCGCGCTAACCGGCAAAGAATCTAACGGCGGGCGATGGCGGCGCGCGGCGACGCTTCTGACTCAAAGGAAGTCGCCCACACACCCACCCTCACCACAACGCCGTAGGCGGGTCGAGGCTGCCCTCCACCCGCTCGCGCTTGCCTCACCTAGGCGACCGGGTAGGCTCCCTCTAGATGGCGCCCGAGACACCTTCACGGCGGCGCTTCTGCCCGCGACAGCGGCGCCTGAGCGCGTGGGCTGGACGGCCCCTCGGGGAGGCCCGCGGGGCGGCGGGAGAGAGCTCTCCCGCCGTCGTGGCGCACCATATCGCCCGTAGACGCCTCTTTATAGTCGCCTTTTAGCACCTCCTCTCTACACGCCGCCGAGTACACCCCGCCGCACCGCATCACCGCCCCCTTCCCTGCCCCGTCGCCCTCCTGAGCTCTCCCCCCTTTGCTCCAGCCACCCACAGGACGGCTGGGCCATCGGCCCACGTGACAGGCGCCCGGGACGGCCGGGGAGCGGCCCCGTATTTTGAGCCCTCTCGGGCCACCCTCGGGCGCGTCCGCCGGCCGGCAGAGCACCGCTTGGGCGACTCTGACGGCCCGCCCGACCACCGCCCTCGATCGTGCCGCTCCCCCGGCGTCAGTGGCGGGCTGGGGGGGGCAGGCGGCGTCCGCGCAGCCCCTCGTGGGGGTGCCCACCGCTCTCCTCTCACCTCTCCCCCCCCGCCCGTGGCACCCCACGCACGCGTCCCTCCTCAGGGGCGCAAGGCGGCACGTTCAACGCTTGCCTCGGCCCACCTCGCCATCACGCCCGCCGCCGCGACCAAGGAGGTGGCCTCGGCGGCCCAGACGAAGCCCGTGCGGCTCGTTTGGGAGCCGCGCGCCGTCCCTCTCTCGCCCGCGCTGCTCACACGGCCCAAGCCCACGTGAATCCACCGTTTTCGTGAAATAAGTAAGTACTGCAATACACACACACAACACACACACACACACACACACACACACACACACACACACACACACACACACACACACACACACCACACACACACCCCCCCACACACACACACACACACCTCCACCCACGCGCACTAGCTGGGCCTTGCACTTTGAATGCCGTCGGGCTCCTGATCTCCTGCCGTCTAGACGTGGAGACGCGAGGGTCGCCCCCCCAGATAATAGTCAAAGTCGACGAGTGCGCCTCGGCCTCGGTATCTCGGTGGCAGAGGCGATCTAAGAGGCGAACCAGAGCACGGCTGGGCGTGTGAGCAGCCGTGTTGCACTGTGCGGCGACTATTTGTCATCAGGAGCGCGCCGCCGCCCCTACACGGCCGCCGCCGCCCTCCCGAGGACAGATAATAGTCAAAGTCGACGAGTGCGCCCCGGCCTCGGTATCTCGGTGCTTTTTTAGCGAGCCCAAGGAAGTTGTCGACGTTCGTCCCGCCGAGAGTGAGCGGCCTTTCGGCTTCTTCCACTCGGTCAGAATCTCCGGGCAGCCGATGTAAGCTGGGAGGACGGCACGCCGCCACCACACAGGGATTTTAAGGACGAAGGAGAGGAATGTCAAGTGCTCTGATTGATTGATGGGAAGGCGAAACACAGTCCGACCAACGACTGGGACACCAACGCGGTATGGATGCTCTGGCCCTTGACGCGCAAACACGGTTTTCTTGCGCAGTTACTTTCGCCTGTCGCTCTCGGCGGCGCTTCCCGCACGATCCTCATGAGATCGAGGCGCAAGAATCAGCCCGGGGCGCGTCTCGTGCCGCCGCCGCTTCGCTCGCTGCGCTCCATCCGCAGCGTCTCTATTCGCGGCGTGCCCACCGCCGCACCGCCGCTGCCCAGTCTGCGGCTGCTGCTTCTCCCACCAGCGCCGCCGGCACGTGCAACGCTCGCGCTGCGTGTGACGGGAGCCGGGCGCGTCGAGTCGCGGGTCTCCACCGCTTCGCTCGTGCCGCGCTGCGACGTGCCGCTCCACGTGACGACCGTCGAGCGGTCGACGCTCAACCCGACGTGGGAGATCGACACAGACCGGCTGCCACCGTCCGTCCTGGCGCTGCGTGCGGTGCGGCTCGTGCTTGAGGCGGTCGGGCTCGATGGCGTGCCCTGTGCGACGCTGATGTCGATGGAGCTGAGCCTCGCCGCGCTTGTGCACGTGACGGCAGACGCCGACGCGGCAGCCGGCGGCGGCAACGGCAGCAGAAGCGGAGGCGGCAACAGCACCTCGGCGGCGGCACTCAGTTCGCTCGCCCTGCTTCCGCCGTGCACGGTTCGGGCCTTTCGACGCCCGTGCCAAGCACCTCCGTCCCTTGAGCCAGCGTCACTTGTGCCGACAGGTGGTCGTCGAGCTCGAGTCGGGCTGCGGCCTGCGCCGCCTCTTCACCACCGCCGACGCCGTCAAACCAATGCTGTCGGCGGGCATGCTGGAGCCTGTGCTCCCTCACGCGTGGCCGGCGGGGGACTCTGCCCAAGAGAGCCCGGCTGGCGCGGCGAGCGACCCCGCTGCCCCGGGCGGCGGTGTCGATCAGGCCTGGCTCGAGCGGCTCGAGCGGTGGGCGGCGGCCGCGCTTCCCGCGGCGGCGGCGGC